CCTGGCACACGTACCTGGTAAGATCTTTTGCTCAAAGCAACAGATGGTGACTCTAGTTATGGTAAAGTCATCTTTCTACTTTATGAATGAACCTAAAAACTGCTGTCACACAATTCGATTATCACCAACAGAAGAGAACATATTAAGTTACAATCACAAGTCCAGTTAAAAAAATAAGGTATATCCTTTTTTTTTTTTTTCGCGGTACGTGGGCCTCTCACTGTTGTGGCCTCTCCCATCGCAGAGCACAGGCTCCGACGCACAGGCTCAGTGGCCATGGTTCACGGGCCTAGCCACTCCGCGGCATGTGGGATCTCCCCGGACCGGGGCACGAATCCGTGTCCCCTGCATCAGCAGGAGGACTCTCAACCACTGCGCCACCAGGGAAGCCCGGTATATCCTTTTATACTTGACATTTTGACTGCCAGAGTTAAACTTCAATTCATTTAAAACTGCGAAACACAAATCAAAACTAAAATTACACTAAAAATTAAAATTAAAAAACCAAAACAAACCAAAAAACTAATGATTCAACTTATTTAATACTATACAGTAACTCAGTCAACCTTATCCATACACACCTTAATAGACTGTTATTAGATACATATAACTTCTCAATCAGTACCCATACAAAGACTATGCTTAAAGAATGAAAAACTATATTTTCCTCTTGAAGAAGAATGCCCTCTGGAGGAGAGGGAAGATACTTGGGAGCCTTGGATGTTGGTAATTCCACAAAGTCAATGTCCACTTTTGTTTACAGTCATACCTCCTGATCAACCACCTCCCATCAAGAGGAAGCTGGGGGGAGGTCCATACAGAGCACAGAATTGGGAAGGCTACAGTAGACTGAGGGAGAGGTAATAAAACATACCTTCAGTTGGCACATTCTTTTCCTATTCTAACTAATATCAATAACAAATCTAAGATTCTACCAAAAACTGTATAATCTTGGGCACTGGACAGCTGAATCAATCTCTTGAACCTTAGTTTCTATGCCTGCCAAATAGGAATAATAGTACCAACCTCAGAGAATAGTTTTAAGAAATAAGGAGATGATGTTTGCACATAGTAAATGCTCAATAAATGGGAGCTTATATCCTTAAGACTAAACAAGTAGTTTATAGAACCAAATTTAATAATTGACACTGTAGGGGATGAAGAGCATTCTAAGCTGAAGCCATAATGTCAAATTAAGACTTATAAACAAAAATTTAAGGGAAAGATCATAAAGGGCCTAAACAAGGACAATATAGAGAAACACAGCCTTGTCCAAAGATGTCATAATGTCGACATACCTACAACAATGACTAGGTAAAAAAGAATTTAACTGGCAACTCAGGAGAATATACTTTACAAACCTTTTAAGGAATAATCACACTAGGAAAAACCAAAAGTTTTATAAAATAGGATTATTGAAATGGCACTAAGAACTGCCTTTTAAAAACACTAAAATGTATATAGAGCAAAACTCCTTTGATTATAACAGACTTTTCCCCAAGAGCACAACAGCTCAACATTACACTGTGCTTAAACTCCTTTCTCACTACAAGCTAAAAATTTAACATTTTCATTCCAAATGTACTTTTGTGTCTTCTACCTCACAAATATCTTTAATAAAACCTGTAATACAAGAATATTTAGGTAATTCCCTGGCGGTCCAGTGGTTAGGACTTGGCACTTTCACTACCAGGGTCCAGGTTCAATCCCTGGTCGGGGAACTAAGATCCAGCAGGCAGTACATGTCCAAAAAAAAAAAGAATATTTATAAGTACTTGGTTTATGAAAGGATTTTTGAAACATTTCATTTGATCCTCAGATATTACCTCTATTTACTCAAGAAACTGAGGTCCATAGAAATTAAGTAATTTGCCCCACAAACTACATATTATTACACTATTCAAGAGGTTGATTCAGCTATCCAGAGATTATCAGCAAAATATTTAGTTCAACTAAAACCAATGTCTTTTAACACTTTCTAGTACACCACAACTCCTTCCCCAAGACTCAGTCCAAATCTTCTTAGTTGGAGCAGTATTACCAACTACTACAAGTAGGTTAACCATCACCAAAGGCCTGAAAATCTTTTCCCTGCACAGTAGCAGCATTTCACCTGCAGAGACTTTTCACTTGCCAAGGATCTTGAACTGTGTAACATTAATTATTATTCTTGGATCACCTTATGACAAGATCGATTATTATAGCTGAAACTATACCAACAGTAATGCATGGCTGAACCCACTGGTATAATCTCTCAACTCGTATTACTTCTCATTTTCTACTTAGCTAGTCGCCCATTGTTCAATCCTAGATAGAAAAGTAACATGAAGTATTAGACTGACTCTGATATTTTTTCTTGTTACTAACAGAAGCCAAATGCAGTGGCCAAAATACTTAAAAGGAATGGAGAAGCAAGCAATCTTATATACCACCCAAAATATAATGCCAGGACAGAAAATTTATGCCTGCATTCCAACTTGGTCCAAATACAGTCCAAAAACAATTTACCAGCAATCCCTTTCCTCAAATTCCCACATTTCTCTCTTATAGATACATTACCATCATTTCCCAAGGTATCCTAAAAGTAACTTATAAGGCACTCTCCTTCATAATGATCATTTCCGTAAAAGAAATATAAATACAATTTGATAGCCATCAAATTGCAATTGAAATTACTATATTGGGGAGTTTAACTTTTCAAGAAATTCTGCAGAAGTCTTTATATAACCTTTTATTTGCCAGAGTTTATGAATGGTAGAGGAGATCTGGGAAGGTAAGAAGAGATATATGCCTGTACCATCACTGCTGTACTAATTTGAGTCTTTGGTAGCCATAATATAATTTTCTCTATAGGTAATATTTTGAACAACTTCACACTTGGGCTCTTCCTAGCTATGTAAATATATTCTGTTAACAGAAACTTCTTCATTTCCATGGAGAATTAAAGAGCGGCCCTTATTTCTTGTAAAGGAAATAGCTATCTGTTTTGCACAATACCCAGTCCACTGTGGCCACCTAATACGGACAAAAAGGGGGGGGAAAAAAAAGACCTATTCGGAAACGTTTCTTCTCCAGCCAAGGGCTGTTCCCAGATAAAGGCAATGCTCAGAGTACAACAAAAAAACCCTTCTCTGAAAAAAGAAATGTGCCAGAAAGCAGAGGCATGGATCGGGAATAAATAGGGAGTGAGTGTATGCGCTCAATGAGGGCTGGAGGCAGCAGGCGCAGCGCGGAGATGCTCCAGCGAAAAGAACCACCAGCCGCCGCCGCAGCAGCAGCAGGAAGTTTCAATGGGGCCGGGCAGAGCATGCGCCCTGAAGCCGCGCGGTGGCCTTATGTGGAAGGAGCACCACTTGCGAACACCAATAATAGACCGGCGGCACCAGAGAGAGAAACATGAGCAACAAGCACCTTCTTCAACTGTTTCCCCTCCGTCTGAGCCCCTCCTCCACCCTACATACTAACCACCCCACCCTACCCTGCAAATGGGAGGGCGACTTCTTCTTCCCCTAAGCCTTATGCCAGGATGAAGGGGGAAGGGACTGGAAAAGTGGGGAGATGCTCTTCTATTATTTGGGGGGAGGTGGGGAGGAGGAAAACTATGGGGGAGGAGAAATTAACCCTCTACCCTCCAAAGTGGAGAAGCTGAACCGACTTCACCCCCCAAAGCGAGAATGGAGGAGGAGGACCCCCTCCTAAGGAGGAGGAGCAAACCTCCGGACTCAGAGGAAGGAGTTTGGGGGGTTAAACCAGCCCTGGAGGGGAAAGGAAAAGAGATCTGACCCGACTCTCTCGGGGGAGTTCCCACTAGAGGGAGGGAGAGATGAAGTGTCCGCTGCCCCCGCCCACCCAGGTGGAGGGAGAGAAAGGGGCGCCCCGAGAAGATGAGCCCAGCCTCCCCGGAGATGGTAGCGAGGATGGTGGGAGGAGGGGAGGGAGTGAGGGAGGAGTAGAGGAGAAAAGCGCAAAGCTGGCCGGAACCTGCGCTCCCCTTCCCCCGCCACCGAGAGGGAGAAGGATTGGGGGGCCCGGCCCCCGCCGCGGGATAGCAGTCCCAGGGGCGGCCGACCAGCACAATGACCCCTCCCCGCCCCCAGCCCAGACCTAGCCCGCGACGCCCCCACCTCTGCTGGGCGTCGGGCGGAGTGGCCCTATGGGGCCTCCGCCCCGCCTCCCCACTGCCCAAGACCCCGGGGGCTGGGAGGAGAAGACCGGCCGGGCTGAACTGCGCCCCAGCGGGAGGACAGAGCCGCGGAGGTCCGGGGTGTCTGTGAAGAGCGGAGAGAAGGAGCATGCCAGGGCCGCTTCCCGCCGGGCGTTCGGGCCCCTAGCTTACCTTCTCCGTTGCCGACGTCCGGCGGCGGAGCTTGCAGCACCCGCTCCAGCTCGGGGAACGGCAACTCGGGCAGGTCGAGCAGCGGCCCGTAGCGCTCCAAGAAGGAGCAGACTACGGCGAAGTTGGGGCAAGAACCCGGGCAGCCCGGAGGAGCCATAGCCACCGCCGCTGCCGCCGCCGCCGCCATTTTGAACTGGAGGATGGAGGAGGAGGCGATAGCGGGGTGGGGGGAGTTGGGGTGCCGAGGAATGGCAGGGCAACCTTACAGACGACAGGAGGCGCTAGAAAGTGGGCACCCCTGCGGATCCGAGAGTCTCAAGCACGGCGCAGCAATCCCACAATACAACGGCGGCCCGGAGCAGTCGAGAACCGAGTCAGACGTAGGAAAGAGAGGCGCCCCGTGCCTTTCGCTTTCGGCTCTCTTTCCGCCCCCCTCCCTCGCTCCTCCCACTTCGGGTTCGCCACTGCCTCGTGTGACAAGGGGAATGAAAACAAGGACTGCGGGGCAGGGAGGCGGGCTGGAAGCTGGAGAGGCGGGAGTTTTAGGAGCGGTGACCAATAGGCTTGAAGGGGCGGAGCTTCACTCGATAACAGGCCAAAAGACTTTTTCAGGGCCGCGCGAGGTGTGGGGGGATCGCCTAGCCGGGTCCTCGGGAGCAAAGGTGAGAGGTAAAGCAGGGAGCCGTTCGAGATCGCTGCTCCTCGGAGGGCGTTCGGTAAGTTTGGGGGGGCACTGCCGGGACAGAAACTGGGACACCAGATGGTGGGGGAAGTTGAGGAGAGTGAATAAGAAGCAACAAAAGAGCAGAATAGGGGGAGAAAAAACGATTCTGAGAAAAAGTTGGAGAAGGGAAAGGTGGAGAGGTGCCCCGAATTAGGGGTTGGGATGGAACCTTTGTATGGAGATGTCTCAGTGAAAGTTTGCTGAGGGATACTGCTAAGGTACAAGAACCGCACCTGTGCTGTAAAGCAGTGTCTGAAAACTCTGGGGGACGAGGGCCTGATGGAACGAGGCTCTGCCGGGATCACTAGTCTGCGGAGTTGGGGCCCTGCTAGGAAATCAGGGTCTAAGGGGACCAGGCTCTTCACAGGGACCAAGGTGTGAGAGGACAGGGCCCTGCTGTGGTTGCCAGCGTGTGAGGGGGAGGGGCTTTGTTGAGGCACGAAGATCTGGGGACCAGGCTCTGTAGCGGCCCAAGATCAGAGGGTGGACTAGGACTGCACTGAGGGTGGACATGGTAGGAAACTTTGTGCAAGGGCAAAAAGTTTGTTACAAGACAGGGTTCCGCTTCGTTGGGAGAAGCAATGAGCATTCTCCCACAAAGAATCTCGGAAAAACCATCAGTAATGCAAAGTAGAATGTGCGGCTTGGTATACAATGTGCATTTTGGTTAAGAGCCTGAGCTTTGGAGTTCAGCAAGACTTGATTTCTAACGGAACCGCTTCAGGACATTGCGGAAGATTTTTTATTTCTTTGAACCTCTGTAAAGTCGGGGTGATAATAGTACCTACAACATAGGATTTTACTAGATAATTCACAGTAAATTGATTAGCACAATGCCCTGGCACACTGTAAATACTTTAAAAATATTAGTTGCTACTATTGAAGAAAATCCCTAAAACTTAGATAAGAGTTCAGCTATTAGTAATTGATAGTTTACTACTTTGAGCCAAAAATTTCAGTGCGCATTTAAAATTTATATAGTATCTACTTACTAAAAAGAATTTCAAAGTATAATATAAACCATTTAAAATAGGACCATTTATAATTAGAGGAAAATAAAGAAATATATAGGCAAGTAATTATATTGGGAACAGAGAAAATGATTACCACAATTAAAAACTGAATTTTGTTCTGCATTTCTAGGTAAAAAAGGAAAAAACTGTAATGTTCTATATCAGACTTATTATCTAAAGAAAGAAAGAATACTCGTTTATCAAGAGAAAAAAATTATATAAGAGGACTTTATTACCTAGAATACTGATTCTTAATCTCAAATAATATACAAACCCTTTTTGGGACTTCCCCATCAGTCCAATGGTTAAGACTCTGCCTTCCAATGCAGGAGGTGAGGGTTCAATCCCTGGTCGGGGAACTAAGATCCCACATACCAGTGGGGTGCAGCAAAAAACTTAAAAAAAAAAAAATTACAAACCCTTTTTATTAATTTATTTATTTTAAAATTTTATTTATTTATTTTTGGCTGTGTTGGGTCTTTGTTGCTGTGCGCGGGCTTTCTCTAGTTGTGGCGAGCAGCAGCTACTCTCCATTGCAGTGCGATTGTGGTGGCTTCTCTTTGCTGCGGAGCATGGGCTCTAGGCATGTGGGCTTCAGTAGTTGTGGCACACAGGCTCAGTAGTTGTGGTGCTGGGGCTTAGTTGCTCCACGGCATGTGGGGTCTTCCCAGACCAGGGCTCGAACCTGTGTCCCCTACTTTGGTAGACGGATTCTTAACCACTGCACCACCAGGGAAGTCCCTACAAACCCTTTTTAAAGGAAAAAAATGTTCTTTTAAAATTTACAAATACTGGGAGGGGAAGGAATTGGAGATTGGGATTGACACATATACACTGTAGATACTATGTATAAAATAGATTACTAACGAGAACATACTGTATAGCACAGGAATTGTACTTAATGCACTGTGGTGACCTAAATGGAAAGGAAATCCAAAAAAGAGGGGATATATGTATATGTATAGCTGATTCATTTTGCTGTACAGTAGAAACTAACACAACATTGTAGAGCAACTATATGCCAATAAAAATTAATTTTATAAAAAAGAAAAAAATTTACAAATACTCTTGAAAATTTCAGTTTAAGAAATACTGATGTAATTAAAGTCTATACAGCAATGTGAATGTACTTCATGCCATTGAACTACACACTTAAAAATGGTTAAAATGATAAGATTTATGTTATGTATATTGTGCCACAATAGAAAAGTTTAAAAAGTGCTCATTTTGGCAGCACAATTAAAATTGGAATGATACAGAGAAGATTAGCATGGCCCCTGCGCAAGGATGACGTGCAAATTCGTGAAGCATTCCATATTTTTATGGGGATATATGTGTATGTATATCTGATTCACTTTGTTATAAAGCAGAAACTAACACACTATTGTAAAGCAATTATACTTCAATAAAGATGTTTAAAAAAAAAGTTAAAAAAAAAAGAAAGAAAAGTCTCACTTTAGGAAAATGTGATGAATTATCATAGCAAAAGAGAGGTCTTAATGTGTAGTAAAATATTTTAAACAACACTGAAATGAAACAGAACTAAACTAAAACATATATTGTATAACAGGGAATATAGCCAATATTTTACAATATAATGGATGTAAATATAGTATAACCTTTAAAAATTGTGTTTTAAAAGTGTGAATCACTGTGTTGTACACCTGAAACTTATATAATGTTGTTCATCAACTATCCCTCAATTAAAAAAATAAATAAATAAACTGAAATATATTGGTAGAACTCTCAAACTCCCAAGTATATATATCTCTATACCTGGGGCCCCGAAGACCCCAGTTTAAGAAAAATTTGACCCAGAACTTATCGGTTTTGCAAAGATACAAAAATCTTCATAAGATCATAACTTAACTGACCTTAAATGAAAGGCAGTACACAATATTAAATAAAATCATATATTTGTGAATGAATTTTGATGGAAAAAAAACCTTCAAACCAAAAGAAAGATTTAGTTATATCATTTTCTGAACACTGCCCCCCTGCCTCTTTCCTTTCTTTCTCTTCGCTTTCAGCTTTTCCAGCACCTCACCTGCTCTCCCATGGGATTGTAAATATAACTTTCTAAAAAAAAAGCTTTATATAATTTTTTTCTTTTCTCAGTGCTGACACTGTTACTCAAAGCGGGGACTGATAAATAAGGTTAGAGTTTCTGCTTTTGTAATCAAGATTGGCATTAGAACAAAGTCCTTGGGCATCAAAAGTTATATCCACCCAAAAGATGAGAGATGTTGTACTACAAAGCAAGGTTTAGGTCATACCTTCACTAAGTCTGTTCTTGGAAAAAAAATAAATGATAAGCACCGCCTCTTCTTGCCTTGGGCTAAGAGAATTTGTGGGTTACAAGAATTTAATCCCAATTTACGTAGCTAAATAATTGCATTATATATATCAGACTAAAAGGTAAAGATAGAAAAAAAAAGTAGCTTTAAAAAAAAACTGTAATTGATTTATTGCTACTTCCATAAAGAAGCCTTTAAATAAGCATTAAATTACCTACACTCAGTCTTTCTTTATGAATAAGAAATTTTTTAAGATAGTTCAAATTTCACATTCTCTTAGGGGAAAAGACAAAATAGTTTTGCATTCAGAATTAGTGACTAGTTTATTCAAAATAGCAAAAAGAAACAAAATGCTCATCAGAAGAAGAATGAGTAAATAAATTGTGATATAGTCTTTCAACAGACTACTACTCAGATTGATACACACTCGATATATATTACAACATAGGTGAATCTCAAAAGCATTTTGAGTGAAAGAAGAAAGACACAAAAGAGTAGGTACTGTAAAATTCCATCAATATGAAGGTCTAGCTAATATATGGGAATAGAAATCAAAAGCTTCTTTTGAGCTTGGAAGGGGACTGACTAGAAAGGTGCACAAGGGAAATTTCGAGATACATTCTGTTCCATGACTAGCAAGTTTATACATTTGTGAAAACTCTTGAACTCTAAAAGATATTTCTGCATTTAATTGAATGTAATTATGCTTTGATTTTAAAATTTAATGGCTTAGCCTTCAATTTTGTCAAATTACATTGATAACAGTCTGCCTTATAATGGAATAATTTATACATATTTCTGTCTCCCCAACATATTATCTTTGCATTTGTCACACAATTTTTTTTACAGATATTGTAATCCTGGCAAATATATATTGAAGTGAACTGGATTCAATTGTGGAGCCAGTTTGGGAATTCCTAATTAGTAATGAGCAAATTTACTTAGGTTTGCTTAAAACTCACTTTTACAAGAAATACTTCTAGAAGTATATGGATATGTTATATGTAGTGAAAAAACTGTTAAATGTCAACAGAAGTAGGAATCTATGGTCTTCAAAATAGTTTCATAGGAAAATGTATGAAAATAAAAAGAAGTAATAAACAAGATTTAATCCAGCCATTTTCTGGTTCTTTCTCTTAATGATAACTGAGTTCTCTGTTGCAATAGAATTGTATTCATTGAAGAAACACTTTTAGAAGTATCTTACCATCTTTTTTCTTAAGCGTTATGCATCAGTCTATTCTTATTTCTTAAGAGCATGGCTGAAACCAATTTCTCTGATGAAATAATTATTTTTACTGAAAGAAAAATTATGTTGGCTTTTTTGTAGAAATGTGTAAGTTGGTCCTAATATTAATATGGAAGTGCAAGGAACCCAGGATATCCTAAACGGTTTTTTAAGTGATGAACAAAGTTGAAGGTCTCACACTTCCTGGTTTCAAAAGTGACTACAAAGCTACAGTAATCAAGACTGTGTAGTACTGCCATAGGATAGCTACTATGGACCAAACTGTGCCTCCCCAAAATTCATATGTTGAAGCCCTAATCCTCAATGGGACTATATTTGGAAATAGAGCCTTTAAGGAGGTAACTAAAGTTAAATGAGGATTGGGGCTGTAATGGGACTGGTATCCTTATAAGAAAAGGAAAAGACATCAAGAGTGCTCATGAACAGAGAAAAGGCCATGTGGGGACAAAGCAAGAAAGAATCCATCTGCATGCCAGGAAGAGAGGTCTCACCAGAAACCAGCCCTGCTGGCACTTTGATCTTGGACTTCCAGTCTCCAGACTATGAGAAAATAAATTTCTGTTGTTTAAGCTACCCAGTCTTTGTTATTTTACTATGGAAACTCTAGCAGACTAGTACAGAAGTCTTTCTCAACCCTCATAACAGTTCATTACAATTTCCTTATACCACTTTTCAAAAGTTAACCTTGTAATTTTTAAAAGTCACCTTTAAAAAACTGTTAGTAATTTGCATATGTCTTCTCTCCTCTAGTGTAATATTAACTTCTCAACAAGAATTATGTTTTATAAATTTGTGTCTTCCTCCCATAGCACCAAAGATAGTGTGTTTATGTCCTTTGTTATATTACACATTTTAAAAATAGGCTAGTAGTTATTAATATTAGGGAGAAATATCACTTTGTTATTGTCTTTATTTGGAGATTAAATACAGTTTAAGGACATGTATATAGGTACCATATTAACAAGGGGTGGACTGTGATGGTTAATTTTGTGTGTCAGCTTGGCGGGACTATAGCACTCAGTTATCCAATCAAACACTAATCTAGGTGCTGCTATGAAGGTGTTTTGTGGACCTAGTTTACATCTACAATTAGTTGACTTTTAAATAAAGAAGATTATCCTCAATACTCTTGGAAGGCCTCATTCAATTAGTTGAAAGGCCGCAAAAGGAAAAGTGAGGTTTCCTTGAAGAAGAAGAAATAACACGTCAATACGGAAATGACAACTCTTGCCTGAGAGCAGCCTGCCAGCCTGCCCTGCACATTTTGCACTAGCCAATCCCCACAATTGCATGAGCCACTTCTGTGAAATAAATCTGTTAATATATATAGTCTACTGGTACTGTTTCTCTGGAGAAACCTGAATCAAGCACCTTTTAGCTATTGTACTTATCAATGCTAGAATTCCCATTTGATTCTTTTTTGAAATGTCTATCTCTTTATTGAGATTCTATATTCATTGAGTCATTGTCATAATTTTTACACTGAAGTATAGTTTTATTTAAATATTTATTTATTTATTTTTGGCTGCGTCGGGTCTTAGTTGCAGCACACAGCCTCTGTAGTTGTGGCATGCAGGCTCTGTAGTTGCAGCACACGGGCTTTGTTGCCCTGCGGCATGCAGGATCTTAGTTCCCTGACCAACGATGGAACCCGTGTCCGCTGCACTGGAAGGCGGATTCTTAACCACTGGACCACCAGGGAAGTCCCTGAGGTATAGTTGATTTACAACATTATATTAGTTTTAGGTATACAACATAGTGATTCAGTATTTTTACAAATTATACTCCACTAAAAGTTACAAGATAATGGCTATAATTTCCTGTGCTATACAATATATCCTTGTTGCGTATCTATTTTATACAGAGCATTTTGTATCTCTTAATCCCATCCCCCTAACTTGCCCATCCTCTGTTTCATCATAATTTTGATTCTTTATGAATAGTTTCCTTTAGTTCTTTGAGCATATTTAGAGTAGCTTCTTTGAAGTCTTTGCTAAATCAAATATATGGGAGTGCTCAGATACTGTTTCAGTTGATGAGTGTGAGCACATTTTTTTGTTTCTTTGCATGTCTTGTAATTTTTTATTGAAAACTGGGTATTTTAGATAATGTATTATAGAGTCTGGATTTGGATTTTCCCCCTACATTGTTGTTCTTAGTTTGTTTCTGTTTAGTCACTTGCCTAAACTAAATCTGTGGATTCTGTCTCCCATGCAATGTGTGGCCACTGAAATCTGTATTAAGGGCTTTTTTTTCCCTCTTTTTTTGTTTTTCGTCCGTGCCACATGGCTTGCGGGAACTCCCCAACCAGGGATTGAACCCTGGTCCCAGAAGTGAAAGTGCCAAGTCTTAATCACTGGACCGTAAGGGAGTTCCCCTTGTTTTTACTTTTAAGCTTGGCTTCCTAGGGGGTCTCCTCTGTGCCTATATATCTTAGTGTACAGCCAAAGATTGTGTTCAAACACCTCAAGCCAGTAAGACTTAACCCTCTCTACTGATGGATCAGTGTGTGTGCTGAGGAGTACATTCAATGTTCAGATGTTTTCATCTCTTCCCTGGCTCTTACATTCTTCTGAGTCCTTCTAAGCCCCCTCACCTCTTCACCTTGCATGTTCTATAGGCTCCATTGGCCCAGAACATTTCCATGACTTAGGCCTATTCCTGTCTTCGATGCATATGCTCACAGCCTTTGCTCCACTCTGGATAGAGAGCTTATCAAGCACCTCTTGGGAATTCCTTTTAAATCCCTGTCTACTCTGACAATCCATTGCTTGTTCCAAACAGGCTTACAATATTAAGGAAGCAGAGTCACCTGCCATCCATAATTACTTGCCACTGAAATCACCAGGTTAACTGAAAATGCTCTAAATCAAGTGAGCCTCCTCTGCCTTAGCAGCAAGACTGTTGGTTTTCACGCCCTGCCCCAATCAAGTTGAACCTCTGTGCCAACAGAACTGTTGTAGGGGCATGGGAGTAATCCCAGGCAAGAACAACAAAACATCTTACTGTTCTTATCTGAAGTTCAGTGGTTTTCATGAATAAGCGTTTTTCAGTTTGCAGTATGTCTTTAATATTATTTCCAGAGGGCCAAATTGTTATTTTGACAGTTTTGTCCAGCTTTATACCTGCTTTTAGGGAAAGGATTTGTCAACTTCCTCACTCCATCATGCTGAAGTAAATCTCCACCTTTAATTTTATCTCTCAAAAATATCCTGAGGGGCCTCCCTGGTGGCGCAGTGGTTGTGAGTCTGCCTGCCGATGCAGGGTTCGTGCCCCGGTCCGGGAGAATCCCACATGCCGCGGAGCGGCTGAACCTGTGCGTCCGGAGCCTGTGTTCCGCAACGGGAGAGGCCGCGGCGGTGAGAGGCCCTCGTACCGCAAAAACAAAAAAAAATCCGGAGAATTCCCTCCAGCGTCTGAGAAGTAATTGTAGTATCTAGTTTCCATGGTTGGATGATTCAGGATCCCAAGAAAAACATTCCACTTTTTAGACCTCTGGAGAAGAAGTGACAACCACATAAATGAGAAAGATTCTTAACTCATAGAGGACCAGGGCTTACTATAATTTGTATACAGCATTATATTTTGAAATACATTCTGTTTATAGTATAGCTCCTGTATTTTGGAGCTGTTTCAACCTTACTTTAAAACTGATTTAGTATATTTTTCTTTTAATTTCAGAGTTCAATTAAGTTCCTTATGTCTTCCCCTGAAATTGCTTCCCTCTCATGGGGGCAAATGAAAGTACACGGCTCTACTAAAATCTATAAGGACTGCAAAGTGTGGCCAGGGGGAAGTCGGGCTTGGGATTGGAGAGAAACAGGAACTGAGGTAAGCTATTAGTGTATGGTTGACACCGCATATGGTTGACACCGCCTAAGGTTGACCAAGTGATTTTCAAACTCCTAAGCCATAATGTCAAAGTTCCAAGTAAAAAGTAACTATTTCTTTCATTCTCTCTCTCGATATAATACACATACCATTAAACTCACCATTAGAGTTTTAAAGTATGCAATTCAATGGATTTTTTGTCATAACCTTGTACAGTAGCTACCACTACTAACTCCAGAATATATTTATCACCCCAAAGGAAACCCCATAACCATTAGCAGTCACTACCCATTCTTCCCTCCCTCCAGCTCCTGGCAACTACTACGCTGTTGCTATAGATGTGCCTATTCTAGATGTTTCATATAAACAAAATCATTCAGTTCTCTTAAGCACATACCTAGGATTGGAAATTCTGGGTCATATGGTAACTCTATGTTTCACCTTTTGAGGAACTGCCAGACTGTTTTCCAAAGTAACTGCACCATTTTACATTATACATGTTAGAAATGTATGATGGATCCAATTTTTCTAAATCCTTCCTCATCAACTCTTGTTTTGCTTTGTTTTTATTATACCATCCTAGTTGATGTGAAATGTTATCTCATTGTGATTTGAAATTTCACTTCCCTTATATTGCAGCTCCTCAAGTATTCTCAGTGTGCCATGCCCAAAATAGGGTCTCCATTCCATGAGTGGAGGTTGGATAAAAGAAGGGAACCCCCTACCTCTCCACCACACTCACTTGGGACTAAGCTTCAGCAATAGATAGCTGCAGGCAGTATGAGAAACATTGATGTCCTGATTCTCCCAGGAAGAAAGCCTTATAGCTGGTAGCTGAGAGAAGCAATAGCCCTATGTTCTTGGCTGCAGCAGTCTGGAGTGGAGTCTCACCTCACTGAACTAGGAGGAGGGAGGCAGGCAGCAGTCTTTCTTGAAATATCACAGATTTTCACCTTTCCTACCAAATATTTTTTCTTGAATACGTATTTCTTAATTTGCTGTTTCCTCTTTGGACCTTTTCCAAAGTCTTTGAATGACTGGGGTTAAAAAAAAATTTTTTTAGGTTATGTTTGTTGGTTTGTTTGTTTTAATAATTTACACTTAGGTGCGAGTAATGGAGCTCTTCATCCAGTAGTGATGGAAGTTGATCCTTCCATTCTGAAGGATAGTTTTGCTGGATATACAATTTGTGATAGACAGTCTTTTTCTTTCAATACTTTGAAAATGTCATCCCACTTTTTTTGGCATTACTGGTTACTAATGAGAAATCAAATGTTATTAAGATTTCTTTGGATTTGACAAGTCACTTCTCTCTTGCTGCTTTCAAAATTCTCTCTTTATATTTAACTTTTGACAATTTGACTATGATACATCTACATGTGGATCTCTTTGAGTTTATCCTACTTAGAATGTATTGAGCTTCATAGATGTGTAGATTGTTGTTCATCATCAAATTTGGGACGTTTTCACCCATTATTTCTTCAAATATTCTTTCTGCCCCTTCTATCTCTTCTCCTCTGTGAAAACTGTTAGGGAGTATGTTGTGTGTTTTTTGGGGGGATTTTTTTGTAGGGGTTTCTGGTGTCCCACAGGTCTCTTGAGGCTCTGTTCATTGTTTTCATTCATTTTTCTATCCTTTTTCTCAGATTGGATCATCTCAATTTACCTATCTTTCAGTTTTGCTGATTCTTACCTGCGATTGTACCCCTTTAGTGAACTTTTCATTTCAATATTGTACTTTTCAGCTCCAGGATTTCCTTTAAAAAATAATTTCTATCTTTTTATTGTTATTCTCTATTTGGTTAGATACTGTTCTCACACTTTCCTTTAGTTCTTTAGATATGGTTTCCTGAAACAATGACAGAAGTTTCCCTGTATGCCTGAAACCAATAGGTGTTGCACTTTATGGTAAGGGGCTCTGTATGCAATTTAGGGTATGCAATCAACACTTAGCCAGACAGTTTAAAACTCTGCTTGCTCCTTGCTTATGCAAACTCTCAAGGGTACCCAGAATTGTGATCTTAGGGCCTTTTCATGTCATTCCTGAGCATGTGCACAATCCTGGACATGTGTATGGCCTTTTCAATACCACGGTTCATACCTGAGCTTTTCAAAGCCCCCATAAACATCTCATTTCTTAATTTTTTCATTTTAGTTTATTGGAACCTCTCATTTGCCCTGTTGTCTACTGCCTCAGGCAGCTGCACTGTTAAACAATTGTCTATGACTGTTTTTGACAAGCTTCTCTGGGATAAAAGATGGTTTGCACTGGCAAGCTCCAAGTCAGATCAAATAAAGACAGCCTATGAGTGGGGCCTTCCAAGGAACCACCAGACAGGTCAAATAATGACAGTTCTCTGGGAATGGGCATTTGAAGGAGCTTTAATCCATCAGGTGATTGCAAAGCTGGTGGTTTTCACTGTGATTCCAGGTTGTTGCTTTCCAAGGTGACCACAGAAGTGGGGATGGGATAGTGGGGTGTGTTAAAGTCCCCCACTGTTATTGTGTTACTGTCAATTTCTCCTTTTACGTTTGTTAACATTTGCTTTATATATTGAGGTGTTCCTATGTATTTACAATTGTTATATCTTCTTCTTCGATTGATCCTTTGATCATTATGTATATGTCCTTCTTTATACAATCTTCATTTTAAAGTCTGCTTTCTCTGATAAAAATATTGCTACTCTGGCTTTGTTTTGATTTCCATTTGCATGGAATATCTTCTACTGTCCCCTCACTTTCAGTCTGTATGTCTCTAGATCTGAAATGAGTCTCTTGTAGGCAGCATATATACAGGTCCTCTTTTGTATCTATTCAGCCAGTGTATATCTTTTGGTTTGAGCATTTAGTTTGTTTACATTTAAGGTAATTATCAATAGGTATGTTACTACTTCCATTTTGTTAATTGTTTTGGATTTGTTTATGAGGTCTTTTTTCCCCTTTCTTTTGTTCTCTTGTGATTTGATGACTATCTTTATTTATTTATTTATTTATTTATTTTTGGCTGTGTTGGGTCTTCATTGCTGCACACAGGCTTTCTCTAGTTGCGGTGAGCGGGTGCTGCTCTTCGTTGCAGTGCATGGGCTTCTCACTGTGGTGGCTTCTCTTGTGGAGCACGGGCTCTAGGCACACAGGCTTCAGTAGCTGTGGCACGTGGGCTCAGTAGTTGTGGCTCGCAGGCTCTAGAGCACAGGCTTGGTAGTTGTGGCGCATGGGCTTTGTTGCTCTGTGGCATGTGGGATCTTCCCAGACCAGGGCTTGAACCCGTGTCCCCTGCATTGGCAGGTGGATTCTTAACCACTGCACCACCAGGGAAGTCCTTGATGACTATCTTTAGTGTTATGTTTGGATTCCTTTTTTTTGTGCATATATCTATTAGAGATTTTTGTTTACAGTGAGGCTTTTGTGTAGCAGTCTGTATATATATATGCTTAAGTTGCTGATCTCTTAATGTCCAATGCATTTTAGATAACGTGCATCTGTACTCTCTTCTCCTCACAATTACTATTTTTTTTTTTTGGCCATGCCACACAGCATGTGGGATCTTAGTTTGCTGACTAGGGATCGAACCCACACCCCCAGCAGTGGAAGCACAGAGTCTTAACCACTGGACCACCAGGGAGGCCCCACAATTACTTTTTTTGATATTATATTTTACATCTAATTGTTTTGTGTATCCCTTAACCACTTATTGTGGTTACAAATAATTTCACTACTTTTGTCATTTAACCTCCCTACTAGCTATATGTTTGGATGATTTCCTACCTTTATCGTATGTTTGCCTTTACCAGTGAGCTTTTCCGTTTCATAATTTTCTTGTTCCTAGTTGTGGCCTTTGCTTTTCTGCCTAGAGAAGTTCCTTTAGCATTTGTAGTAAAGCTGGTTTGGTGGTGCTGAATTCTTTTAGCTTTTGCTTGTCTGTAAAGCTTTTGATTTCTCTGTCAAATCTGAACAAGAGCCTTGTTGGGTAGAGTATTATTTGATTGTAGATTTTTCCTCTTTCATCACTTTAAGTGTATTGTGCCCCTCCTTTCTGGCCTGCAGAGTTTCTGCTGAAAAATCAGCTGATAGCCTTATGGGAGTTCCTTTGTATGTTATTTGTTGCTTTTCCCTTGTTGTTTTCAATATTCTATCTTTAATTTTTGTCATTTTGATTACATGTCTTAGTGTGTTCCTCTGTGGGTTAATCCTGTATGGGACTCTGTGCTTCCTAGACTTTGGTAATTATTTCCTTTCTCAGGTTAGGGAAGGTTTCAGCTACTATCTCTCCAAATGTTTTTTCAGGCCCTTTCTCTCTTCCTCTGGGATCCCTATAATGTGAATATTAGTGTGTTTGAAGTTGTCCCAGAGGTCTCTCAAACTGTCCTCATTTCTTTTCATTTTTTTTTTTCTTCATTCTGTTTGGCGGTGGTGATTTCCACTACTCTGTATTCCAGCTCACTGATCCATTCATCTGCTTCATTTAATCTACTACTGATTCCTTCTAGTGTGTTTTTCATTTCAGTTATTGTATTTGTCAGTTCTGTTTGGTTGTTCTTTATATTTTCTAATTCCTTGTTAAAAACTTCTAATTTCTCACTCAGTGCATCCATTCTCCTCCTGAGTTCTTTGATCATCTTCACGATCATTACTCTGAACTCTTTCATGGGTAGATTGCCTATCTCCATGTCACTTAGTTCTTCCTCTGGGGTTTTATCTTGTTCCTTCATCTGAAACATATTCCTCTGTCTCCTCATCTTTTCTAAATTGCTATTTGTATTTTTATGTATGTGGTAGGTTAGTTATGTATCTCCACCTTGGAAAAGTAGTCCTCTGTAGGAGACGTCCTATGTGTCCCAGGATTACACTCCCTCTCATCACCCAAGGGCCAGGGGCCAGCTGGTCCCAGGGTAGTGTCTAGCCTGCAGCAGGCTGCAGGACTATAGTTTTCTTAGTTCTGATGCCTGCCCCCTGGTGGGTTGAGCTGGGTCTTGGCCCTCTGGTGGGCAGGGCTGTGTCTA